GCTGCCATTCGCCCTGCGTCTTCCTGCAGCTGTTTTCCCATCTGCTGCTGGAAGCCATTGCCCTACCTTTAAATAAGACCTGAGGCCTGGAGATAGAAGATTCAGTTGCTCTAAGCAAACAAAATCTTTTCCCAATTCCTGGTTGCAGAGAACGAAACCTGCTATGTCTAGAATCATTGCTGGACTGCTACCACAGCACAGTCTAGGCCTTAGCTTAGTCAGCTTAAAACCCAGGTCTCAGAGGGAGCCCAGCTGGCAAAGCAGTATTTTTATTCCTCATTCACCTACGCTGGCAGGCCACATGCTTGATCACCACGTAAATGACACTTGCTCATTTTCAGGCCTTTGGTAAGAAGGATCCTGGGTTTAGTGCACAGAAAGCCCCTCTGTCCTACCATGGCTCTCTTGTTGCGGGGGTTGTATTTCCTGCAGGAACTGTACGAGCTTCATTAGAGGAGCTTTTGATATGTTGTTGTTGCATTATTTAACTTAACACAGCTTAATATGTATATACCAGAAACAAAACATCGATGGCCTCTACTGATACTGGGAATTAGCCCCATTTAGTCTCTCTCACATAACCAAATTTAACATTTTCAGCAAAGATTTATATGAGATATAAATATTCCCTCTACTCCCCCAGAATTCTCCAAACTAAAGATTAAGTGGAAACGTAAAAGGTCCTTTTGAAAGACAGGATATTTCTGAGTACTGAAGACAGACATTGTTGAGTTATATGAAGCTGATATTTGCTAAGTGATTACCAAAGAGGCTCCCCATAAAACCAAGAGTCGGTACAAAGGGAGTTCAGGAAAATTTTACTCTAAGGCATCATTTTGAACTTTCCTGTCTTGCTGCATCACATTTAGTTTGTACAGGACGTAACAGGAAAATGCAGCCTGAAGGCATGAATTTGTTATTTAAAATGTACAATGAAGCATACAACAGAACAAACAAAAAATACTTCATTCTTATTGCCACATATTGGCCCACTGGTCAGTCAAAATATATGAAAGGCAAATAAGCAGGCAAAAGAAATAAGAGAAAAAAGAGGTATTTCCATCCTGAATAAGGAAAAGTGCAAGCAGCACAAACAGCCTGTTTTCAACCATTTCGTAACAGACTAACACTAGGAACAAGATCAGCTCTAAAAACCCTCAAACTTATGGCATCCAATGGGTGGTCTACAGCCTTAGTAACCAATTTTTATTGAGGTATCTTCTTGTTGCTTATGTTAAGGATGCGTTCTTTCTGGTTTTGTCTAAATATTGATAAGAAACAAGGACTTTGGCCTACAAAGGAGTAGACGTAGCAATCTACAAATTAGCCGCTGTCCAGCTTCTGCGTTCCTCGGAGCTTCAGCACATTTATCCAGCACGCTCACAGTTTTAACAGACTCTCTCCAATGAACTGCATACCCAGTCTGGAAGTTGTAACATAATAGTTTGTGGAGAAGAGACATTCTGGCAATCATTTTTAATCGGCAAAACTCCCTAGCATACAGCAGGGTGGTAAGGAATGCGCTGAAACCCTGAGGGTCTTAAAAATATGTAGCAATAGAACCTCATTAGAACATGCACATCAGCCTTGAAGAATCTTATTGTCTAATCTGTGAAATTGCTTGGACACAGAGATCTGTGTCTTGTTTTTATGATTGTTAGAGAAAGCAAGTAACATTCTCACATACTTACACAGCTATTTATGACAAATCCTGTGTTTGGTTACATGAGCCTATTTCTTATGGCTAGCTGAAAGCTGCTATAAGACTCTATTCCTGGAAACACGACTGGATAGCTCAGTAGTTTTAAGGCGCTCTTGATGCAAAGTCTATTCAAAAGAGATGAAAAGTATGTTCATACTAACCACATATCTTTTGCGAGCTCCAATATTATTTAACTCCAGAAACCACTCTTCGTTTCTAACCCCTGAATATCTAATCCTCTAGATAGAAAGTTGTACAGCCTGTGACATGCCTACAACAACCCTGGGGCTTTAAAACAACACACAAAAGTACTGTTCTTTCCTGGTAAGTCCTGGCTTGAGAAATTAACGGGTACACAGTGTGCTTTATTTCTACCTGCATAACATAAAAGTAAAGATCTTTTTCAGCAGATTTGAGATGTGCTACATCTCCACCAAAAAGTACAGGAAAGTAATAAAACATTCAGTGCATATTAAATGGTTAAAAAATGAGATGTAATCAATATTGCCCAAAGTATGCATGTTATTAAAGTATTTCGAGATCAGGTAAATTGCTGACATAATTTAAAGTTTTAACGCAGGTTATTTGAAGTCTCTGCCTCATAGGTAAATGGTGCATTTAAGAGCACATCCTATAATGCTATATTTTCAAAAGTAAATGGAAGAAATTTTGAGGCAAGTGAAGTTATTTCCTATTTGAAATCTGCTATTAGATAAAAATTATTTGGTAAACCATTTCAAATTGTGACTGCATCAATGCATGTGTATAACTGGAATTGGAGCTTGTTTCCTTTCTGTTGCTTCTGATGCATCTCGAGATGTATCGTACCCCAAAGTGAAGTCTGGTATTAACCCAGTACTCAGAGGCCTTTACTTTCATATGATCTCCCAGAAAAAAAAAAGTTACATTAATGTGACCCTTCTGCCAAAAGCCTCCTGTACATGAACAGACACTTACAGCCAATTTTTACTAAAATCACTTCCCATAAGAGGTGGACATAATTCACCAACTTTCCCCAATTCCCTTTACAAAGATATCTTAAAAAGATAAAAGAAACTCAAAAACCTGTTGTCTGATAAAATCATTACCTGCATCCCACTCAAAGCAGAAAATGGAAATCACCTAGATTTCTATGGGGAATATAAAATAGTTTGCAGTGTTTCAGAGCTTCATCAATTTATAAGGAAATGTAATTGCTGAAGGCTGACAATAATGCATATGAAATAAAAAACACAATTTCTGAAGATTCAGTCACAAATGAATTCAGGCTCAATTAATTTAGCAAGTCCATGCAGGGACAGCCTTAACTGTCCAGAACCAAGATATACTGTGAGGACATTTATGAGGTTTTTTGCTTCGTTTTTAAGTCTCATAGCTGCAACGACCCACCTAGCTTGCAGTGTTATTTCATTCAGAAACAAACCAAGGCTTGTCATCAGAATGCTTTGGATTATACAGAAGTAAAGGGTTAATTAAAATAAATAATCCAAACCAGTAACTGGTATCTTCCACTGAACAGAAATTATACTGAACATATCTTTCACTAATCCTATACTTAAACAGATTTTTTTTTTTCATTGAAAGCTGGAAATATTATTTATACGAAATACCACAATCACTTACATCACAAATAACATGATATTAGGCCAAACAAAAGGGATTCATTCTCTGCTATTATAGAGCATTCCTTCTCACAAGCTACCTCTCTGATCATTTTAACATTAATTTTTCATTTGGTTTCCCTGAGAGACTAACAATAAGCAGACACAATACAACCGATTGTCACCTGCACACCAACAGGCAATTACAGCTAATTTTAACTTAAATTGCTTCATGTAAAAGGTTCAAGCTCAGCTGCCTTATGTAGAAACTGGGAAGAAGAGGAATTGAACACCTGCCAGAAACCAACTGGTTCTCCACCAGGACTGCACAATCCCAGCAGCCCTTCATCAAGGGCACTGTAGATTCAGTTCTTTTTACCACCGCCCATCTGCCAGCCCTAAGACTGTAATGCCTTGAATACAGACTGGTCTGATAAAGAATTAGGAAATCAAATTAGTGGAGAGCCAATGGAATTCATCACTATCCTCCTCAGCAGCATGACAGGTAATACAAACCTTGCAAAACAGATTTGCACAGCCGAAGATTTAAAATATGTAATCTTTACTACTCAAAAGCTGGACTGAGATCTGCCAAAATTGCCCGAGTTTTTACCGTTGTTCTATTATGATTATTTTGTATTATATACATATGCTGGCTGGCCCATTAAACACAAGCTGGAAATTCCAAGATTTCATCTGTGCCTTCTCAATATACAGAGGATAAGACATACAGCACAGAGGGATAATCAGAATCTTAGAAATATTTATTTCCTGCTTCCATGAGAATGATGAGTTTAAGCTGTTTTTTCTCCTAGAGCTTTGTTAGCCAGAAATTTGAAACATTCTGTAAGATTCCTGTGTACCTTAAATAATACACTTCTCTGAATAGAAACTATTTGCACTGTATGACTGAATTTCACAGGTATTTCTGTTTCTTGAAAGGGGTACTCACATTAAAAATAAAATGAAGAAGTTACAATAGGAATCAATCTAATCAGTATTGTGTGCTCCAAGTCTATGAAAATCCCAGGAAATGAACTAATGGACAACATTTTTAACACTGGATTTACACATCCATCAAACGTGACAACCATCTCAACCTTGTAGTCCATTACCCATATTTTTATGATCTGACTTTGTAGATACTGACTTTGTAGATACATACATAACTAATGCACTGGCCTGTTTTAAAGACTGAAATTATTAATATTTTAAAATAAATGTTGATTGCACTCGAAACAATAACCACAGATTAATATCATGCACCCTTCAACAGATCCCTTCAAAATACATCAGTAGCTTCACTCTTCAGAACAGAAATACACAGTAGGAAAGAAACATCAAGCCATAGCAACCAAAAGGAAAGCTCAGTCGACTACCAGATGACAAAACAAGGAATGAAATCGCAACAGCCAAGTCATTAAGGCCCAGTTCCCCCCATTGAAGCCAATGAGAATTAGGCACAAAGACTTTCTTAGAATGCAATCGTAAGTACTTCTGAAAAAATTCTAGAATGAGAGCTGGTGTACTACCAAGAAATATATACCAAATACACTGGCATTTAAAGGGTTTTAAATTATTTCACTATTCTCTAACAAATTGCCTTCTACACAGACTTGCAACAAACACATCATCACCTTGACACATGCTATTAACTAAAAACGTCTATTGCGTTTCATGATTAGAAGATACAATACCTCTGTCTGAAGTATGGCAGCTCTCTGTTCTTTGGCAGTAAGTGACTCTTTAAGCACTTCAATGTGTTGCTTGCAATCTGAATTCTGATTGCTAAGGGTTTCAAGTTTAGTTTGTAAGGCAAGAAGTTCTGATTCTTTCTTTGAGAGTTCTTGTTTCAGTTGGTCAATCTGTAATGGAGGAAAAAAAAGAAAGGTTAGATCATTAATTTCATTTCCAATTCATAGTTGCCCTTGAAATCTGAAAGATGTGAATGACCATGATATGATACAACTCAGACACCTGTAAATTCTGGAAGAGAATTAAGATTCGGACTTTTTACACTCACAACTTCGATTGAGTTTCTTGTAATTTAACGTACCCTGTTTTAAGAATTACTGTCCTGCTGTTGCAGAAGTTGAAAGGAAACTCTTAAAGATTATACATGATGATTTGGCCTATAAATTCACCATGGACCTCACTTAAGTTCAAAGGAATTTATCCTGTGTGAGGCAAGTCTGGCAGGACAGAAAAAATGCATAGGAAAAAAAGCGTTCATAAAAGTAGAAATTCAATCCAATAGCCTGTTCCTTCCAACAGCATGATTCTTGTGACTTATCATAGGCCAGAGCGAATCGAGGTTTTTTAGGAGCCTGATAAGGAAAAACAGGCATCTTAGTAAGGAGAGGAAAACAGAGGAGTGGAATTTTAACCTTACTCTTCTTGCAAATGTATTGCTGCCCACCGTCCCCGCCTCCTTTTTTCCTCTCTGGCAGTTCACATGGAATTCTCAGGTACTAGGAAAGCCAAGCCAAAGCGATTAACTTGAGAAGTCTGGGGAAAACGTTATAAAAAATTCCACAGAGTGAAAGGTCTGTGAGATTGTAAAAGCGTATCCTAGGGGAAACAGCAGAAACCCAGTCACTAAGAAGGAGCTTCTGAATTTAAGGTTCATCAGTAAATGTCATGGAATTGTGATTATTCTTCCCTTTCCACAGTGATAAATGGGAAGGGTAGCCACAGAACACCAAAGTGCAGTGGATTTAGACTATATGAATCTGAACAAAGCACTGGACAATACACAGAATGGTGCTAAAGGACGGTGAATTAGGTGACATACAACTATTCATCTTAAAGTCCTGTGAAATAACACTGGTCACCAGATGAGTTCAGATACATCATCTCACGAGGATTATTTGAAATAGAATGCCTCAGTGCATCTGCATAACTCAGAGAAACCACACTTTATATTTGGCAAGTTTGCTTCATGACTGTAAGGCCTAGACATTTTTCTTGAAAATTCAAGTTTTAATTCTGCAACTAACAGAAGTGCTAGAAGAGCTCTTTCCATTCTCTCCCATCAGTTGCATCCCAGCAGACACTTGGGAGGCAAGAAATCCAGAAGGGCTAGGTGGAAGGTGATTCAAAAATCCCCAGAAAAAAGAAAATGTATCCACAGGCTGATCCTACTCAATCACATCCTAACAATCCACATACTAAAATATTTCACAGATTCAATATTGTATGGTACAGTCCCTGGAAACATTTACTGCTGATCAAAATATTTCTATTTTGTTTTACATTGCAAGTGTATCCTTAAAAATTAAATTTAAAAAAATTATTCTTCCAACTATAGTCCATATGCACGTTTTAATATATTTATTCCTTATTTCTCTTTATAAATATCAATATGTTTGTCTAGCTGGTTAAGGTACTTGGCTAGCCACCCCTGAACTACTGTGTAAAATCAAGAATCTATACTGGCACTAAAAGCAATCACCTTCACAGTCTGAAAATATCAAAATAAGAAAAGGAGTGTACAAAAAACACATGACAAGAAAATGGAAAGAGTGCAGTTAAGAAACTGCTAGAAAAAACTTTCTCTTGAAAGCAAACCACCTTCACCATCCCTTGCCAGAACTTGTAAGCAAGTATGGCAACCGAGACAAAAACGTATACAAAACGAACAATTGGAAAATGTGTCTACAAGATATAAAGACAAAACATAGATCTGCAGCCAATCTGAATTACATCACATGCTTTATATGAGACCCATGTGAACATCACAGACGCTTAATCTCTCCTAGAAACTCTTCCCGCTTTTTTCCATGACACAACGCACACCCTGAGAAATAATCAAACCCCCCCCCAAAAAAAAAGCTTCATTTTCGTTGCAGGTATGTCTTTGTGTTTCAGAAACAGAATCTGTTTAGTAGAAAGTTCTGGCTACAAGAACTACAAATTGCCAGGAGTTTCAAAATCTGTTAGAGCTCTCAAAAAAAAAAAACAAACCCAAAACCACAACAACACACACCAAAAAAAAAAAACCAACAAAACCCACCAAACCCCTCCTGTGTTGAATAATTGTACTTTTGCCTGGTGTTTTATTAAAATAAAGTGTAATGGTGAAAATGTACTAAAACATCAATTTAAAAAAATTAAGTATCAAAAAATACCAAAGACATAACAAGAAACCACATAACTTTTCATAAGAAGTTTTTAGACCTGGGTATATTTGCTTTTTTAAAAGTTCTGCATTATCTATTAATGTATAAAAAAAAAATTAAATGGGCATGAAATAAATTTCTGTCTCCAGCAGATGTCCAAACATTTTCACTTTGCTATATCTTAAGTGGTGCGGAAGACCAACAGTCACGATTCAATGAGATCTCCTGATCTCAGTACAAAAAAAGAAAAGGCAAAAACGTTTTTGTACTTTATAAAGACTACAATGAAGGTAACCGACAAGTCTGGGTGTAAGTGCTGTAGCATCTAAAAGACTCCCAGGCTGTCCTCTGACCTGACGTTCCCACTATCTCACATATTTCATAACGTGTAATTTGCCTGTCACCGCTTTTTCAACATTGCCCACTATGATCCTGCTTCACCTCCTTTCCTGAAACCTAGTTCCTTTGTCTTCCTTCTCAATTTATGATTCTCTCACCTCCCATAATTTCAGTTCCTTAGATACTAGCATTTCCAGAAAACCATTATCCTTTTTCTTATATTATTATTTTTACACACCAAAATCTTACATAACATTACATAGAATAACTGGGAAATAAAGAAAAGAAAACACGACAAAGAAACAAAAAATCAGAGCTTTTGCCCCGAATATTGCATATTAAAATTAATGGGCTAAATCTTTAAGTAAATACTTCTATTAAATTAAACTGTGCCGATTTACGCATCGTAAGGATCTGGTCTTACGTAACAAATGACAACTGCTTTTACAGTGAAGGATTTAAGTAAAGGAAAAACAGTAGCAATGCAAATGAAGTGGAGAAGAGGAGACTACATGTCTATCTGTAGATTCTACAGATTATATTGGTCAAGGTCTATTTTGAAAGTGTTTATCACATTTCCAGGCCTATCCGCAAAAATTGCTGCAGTTCTTTTCCTGTATATTTCTTCGACAGGATCGCCTAGAACTTGCATGCTTCCTTCATACAGTGTGAAAAGCCCTGAGACACAGACATTAATTACAGAGAGCTTTGTTACAGCCTAATAAATTCTTAAAGCTCATCTTAACAGTAATTTGCTGAACTTGCACTGAACTATCACTAGATTTTCATACTCACTCCTGTCGATAGCATGAGAGTTCTAATACTCAACTACTTAAATTCCAGAGTGCAACCTCGCACCTGAAGAAACGTTCCTTTAAATATCTGGCTGTTAGCCAAAGGACGAAGGAAGTCTGGCAAAGCAGAAATTATTTTTTAAAATGCATGTCATTCTATATGTTTTCTTCATATCCTTAATGAAGACATTTGAAGCTTCATATCCCTTAGTCATGAAAACTTTAAGACTTGTTTTGACAATTTCTGTATCATGTAATTGATGGCAATTTTTGTCCCTTCAAAAACAGAGCAAGGAGAATCCTCATCAAGTGGGCAAGGAAGAAAAAAAAAAACCTAAGCAAGTTTTCTTTCTCATTTCTACAACTTCTATTTAACTGCAAGTCAAAATTAAAGCCTATGTATTTGGAAGGAGTGAATATTACTAAGAATTAGTTGAGAAAAAGAACATTTCCCAACATTCTCTGCCACTCACATACAATAAATAATATTCAGTATCGGCCTCCATTTAACACCTTCCCATATATTTAAATGAAGAACAGATTTAAAACAAGTTATATTTCAAGAATAAATGTGAAGTATTAAGAGCTTTATAGCACCTAAGACTGTTAACTCTGAGAAGAGTTTTGTTCTGCTCTTTGCCATCAATCAAGACTTCTGTTTATCAGAATTTATCGACAATCTCAGGTTCAACAGATCAGGTATAATAAGATCTGTTTGCTGACAGCTACATAAATACTTTTCCACCTTGAAAAGTTCTCAGATGAATGATAAAAATAATATCTTCTGCTGCAAATCTCAATGTTAAGTGGAAGAAAAGGACTGGTGAAAGAAAACAGACGAAGTTTCATCAGAATGTGGCATTTATCAAAGATCAGAAGATTGTGACAAAACAAGGCATGTTTAATAGTCTTCTCGTTCATCTGCTTTCTGTGCCACAGAAATATACTGAAGCTTTTCCTCTCAAAAACATCAGAAGATTGTTAACAAAATACTAGGCTTTGTACATTATTTTTATATCAACAGATTTGCTGAGATATATTAGGAGTTTTGCTGTAAATTACTAAAACTGAATTGCTTTGAAATTAATGATGTTTAAATAGGCAAAATAATTTTCCTGATGAAAATGCTACTTAGGAACTTTAGCTACTTTTCAGCAGCTTAAGAGCTACTTTTTTCAACAGAATAAAGATATTCTGTGGGGTTTTTAAATTTTTTTTAATAAATCTGGATTAATTCCACATGGGCGCTAACACGTCCATTTCTTCTGTAGCATAAACCCCTAGGAGAAGGTAAAAATGTGCCCCAGTGTCCCAAGACACCAGCATTTCCTGTGATGTAGTTACAAGATACTACAGTTCCAAACTGGGAGACAGTAACAGCTCTTCTGAGATGGAAAATCTTCAGTATCCAATACTGCACAGTGGTGAATTTTCTTAGTCCTATACTCACTGTGGAATTCAGACGAAGTAAAAGCATCTTGTCAAGAAGACAATGAAGGTCTGATTTACACAAGAAAACTGAAAATCGGAGCACTCAGATTCTCCAGAAGGTGCTGACACCGTTTCATTCCCTGACCACAGACAAGCTGCATGCTTTCTCTGAATCTTAGCTTGCCCAACTCTGAAAGAGTGGTAATGGTATTTATCTACCCGATATTGCAAACTCTGTACTTAAACAGCAACGTTGCTAAGGAGTTTTAGCATCAACAGACAATGGTAGGCAGAGAACTGCACTTTAAGCCAATTAACTCCTACTTTTTGGGCTTATATGGCCTCTAGAGGGGTAACAGTACCAGCACCAACGCAAGCGCTTTTTTCAGAGCTTCAAGTACACATTTCAGAAAAAGTGAATCAATCCATCTCAGTTCCCTAGAATTTCACATACGCAATGTCCACATACACAACCCCCCCTAAATATTAAACAGAATAAAACCCCAAACAAATAACTAGGATGGAAAGACTTTTAAATCAAAGATTTCATAATAATCATAACTACTAAAGTTGTTTGCCTAGATTTTATTCTGGCATTATGGTCAAATTTTTAACATCACTGCAAGAGATGAGATGGCTGGCTGTCCCTTTCAGCATTTCCACTTCAGGCTGCTGTGTCTTGTTTCACCCCATCTTAGTTTAGCTTATAAATAATACCAAAAAAAGTTCTATTGCCAAAACCTAGATTTATTCATATGAGGATGGGAGCACCAGCTTCAGCCTCCATAGTTTCAAATTTATTTATTTTTTTTTATCAAGTAATTTAATTCAGTATTTTATCACTTCATAAACAAAACGCATTCAAGGTAGAGAGCTGGGAATAAACCAGCACAAATTGTAACATATTATATATTAATCAAAACTTTTAAGGCAATTATAAAAATATCAGAAAAGAAATATTGGAATTCACAAGAAAGACTGTTTGGAGTGCTCATCTTTACCTAGACATCAGCTGAGCACATCAAGATGAAAAGAGGTAAAAAGACCAGCTGGGGCAACAATTTAGACATCAGGCTTTACTTCTGATGTTTATTAAAAAAATGAACAAGCAATACTGTTTTGTGAGCTTGATACCAGGAAATGTGTTACATCACTACACATTTACCATCTGCTTGTGGTCAACTCATCATTATCTATGTACAATAGTTTGAAACGAAAGGTACTCTGTGGGAACAAAGACATCAAATTGCAAGTCTTTAAAATGCTGGAAGGTTTTTAAATATCTTTTAAAAATACCTTAAAATACTAGGAGGTTTTTAAAAACTTTCTAAAAATACTTTAAAATACTAGAAATTTGGCATCATCTATGGAACAGCAGTCCCTACTGTAAAACGACAGTCAAAACCAGAAGAAAATGCACAAAGTTGTACCAAAATGGTGCAAGTTAAAATTATGAACTAATTCAAAAAGCCAACATTAAAACACCATACACAAGAAAGGGAAAAGGGAACACGGTATAGACTCAGGATTGTAGCCGCCTCTGCAGACGTAGTGAAACAGCCTCTTCCTTACTTCTTCCTAAGTCAAAACATAAGCATATTTTTATTTATCCAAAATGCTTCACTCCTCCATAGCTACTGAGTATTGCATAGCAGAGATTTACCAAAAGAAGACATGCAGAGAGCTGCTTGTATTGAAAAGGGTCAAGTTAAAACTTTTGTTTCCGTTATTTAAACAGCATTAAGCTATTTTATGAATAGACCTTACCTTATTTTTCATGAACTTTGAGTGACTCTTGTAAACTTCTATTTGTTTGATTTCTTCTTCTCGGTCCTCTGTATTCAGAACTCCGTTTGTCTTTAACATCTGTATTTCATCTTCAAGATCTCTTATATTGCGCTCAAGTGAAGCTATTTTTGTATCCTAAGTTATGAAAAAAGAGAGTATTGAAAATGACGTGAAACTTGTCTATTAAAGCATAACAAAAGTATATCTGTACTTGCATGAACATCAAATAATAAGATAGCAAAAATAGATGGCACAAATACAGACTGTACATACTGTCATAAACCAAGAGTAATTCTATTGATTTTGGCTTAAAGAAATGCAGAATTTTTACATCTTCCATCCCCAGAAAAAAAAGTGAAATGCTATGTTCTGTTGCATAGCCTGTAGAGAATACATTCTGGTCAAAATTCCGTCTTCGTTCCTACAATTAGGGATGAAGGGAGAATGGAAGATGCCCTGTTTCCCACGTGTACATGATAACATACCTTGTTTGCTTTGCTAACCATCTAGGCCTGGCTGTTCTTCCAAGCTCTTAAACACAAAGTTTAGCCTAGGGAGGCCAGTCCACCACCACCGCAGGACGACAGGCCACTTCATTATGTGACTCAGCCTGAGGCCGAGTTTCCCCATTTCCATAGAGTTCTGCCTGCTGTCAGGAGGAAGAAAGGTTGTCTCCGCACATACTTTTCCTCCACTAATTCAGCCACATCACTAAGAGGGGATTTAGCACTTTTTATTATGAGTCCCAAAATAAACAAAACCACAAAACCACAACCACTAAAAAATTTCTGCATCACGGAGAACGGCTGCCATGTGTGCCAGCACAGCACTGAAAACATCCAGTGATTTTTTTGTTGTTGCCAGTCATTTGGAAATTGAGTAAATCTCTTCAGTGAGAGTCAGAAAGATTAAAAAGTGATTACACAAACTTCTCACATAATTTTCTGTTTAAAAGAGCATTGCAAAATGACTCATTAGGAAATCTGCTTTAGGCCCTGTTTGCAGACATTTATTAAGAAATTGAAAACATTGTGATTGAAATGGTCATACAATCAGTTCAAGAATGTGAAGGAGCAACCATCCATTAAAAATCAGAGACCAGAGTGAAGCTCTTCTTCCACTGAGGTCAAGGGGGGGCGGGGGGGGAACCACAACTGATTCAGTAAGATCAGGATATTAACCTAGAAAGCTAATTTGGGAAAAATTACAAACTGCATTGATCCTTTAGCCAGGACAAGCTAAGCTTGAATCACTCTGCTTAACTACAACTTTGTTTCTGTTTCTTTTTTCAAAATTAGTTTTCTTTTCCTGAGTTCTAAAGGTATACCAATGCTTTCTCTAGGCTGCCTAAAACCAAGCAACACCAGAACTCCTGTAATACCTTCTTTCATCATACAGCTAGGCAAATTTAGCAATTGAAGACACAGGATAGTTCAGACAAAGTTCCAAAAAGCATCTGAACTTTTGGTAATAAAGCAAAAATGAAACTCAGAATCTGTTTGAGATTTAGCAACCACTGTTACAAAACCATACGGAATCAAAGCTATGTAAGGAGTAAACAATGTCATTTAGACAGCACACTATCATTCCTCTAACATTTTAGCTTTTATCTTTATAGCTAATAATAAGGTTCAGACTGAGAGAAATTTTCTTTTATTATGTTCTTATTTCTTACATTAGTTAAATTAATAGAGGGTTTTGAATAGGAAAGATTTTAACTACTTAGTTTGCATTATAAAAGCTGTTCACAAACAAGTGAAAATATTCACAGTCTGAAATCCTGGAGGTTTTCCAAGATCTAACAGGATAAATATTCATAATATGAAATTAAAGTTTGCATTTTCCTTACAATTTTCACTCCCAGAGAATTCTATTTAAAAATAAAATGATAACATGATTTAATTTACAGTAACTGTGGTCCTTCAAGATTTTTCTCTCAGAAGCTGATGCTCTTTCACCAAACATGCTGGAGTGCACACAGATACCTTTGACTAGAGTACCTGAGCAGAGTATCCTGAATATCCTTTGTGCCTTCAACTTAGGAAATAAAGAATGCTTATTCCCAGCCAATCCTATTCCTGTGTGGGACAACACATCTCAAAGAACGGTATTTACTGTACTTAATAATACTATTCTTTTGTAAGGTAAAGAAAAACTTATTTGCCCACATCTTTTCCATTTTTAGTGAGTCAAAAACAACAATTCACACTATAGAACCTCTGTGAGGGGATTCTACCTGTACAGCGTGAAACAGTCCCACCAAAATTAGCATTAGAACTTCACAGCTTTTCTGCAAAATAACATCACATGAAGACACTCAATGAACCACAAAGAGCTTTCCCATATATCTCCATTAATGAAAGTACTCAGGATACAGAGACGTTTGCCCAGAAAAGTAAGCCGTCACATAAGAGTTCATTTGATAAATCATAGCACAGCTTGACCCAATTAGAAGGTCTGCATAGAAATACTCTATCCACACTGTCTTCGTAAAGTCAGAGCAATTGAGCTTAAGCTCAGGTTAATCTGAACTATGTAGGAAACAAGTATTTGCCTTAGTCATCACTGACAAGGTCTCTCAGGCCTTTGTGCTTAATGAAAGGGTTCAAGCAAGAGGACGATCAACAACGAGGACTCAGTCAGGACTTTCTTGTGAGGACTCAACCTATACAAATCCACGGGACTCAACAGGCTGCATCCAAGGCTGTTGAGACAACTGGCTGATGTCCTTGCAAGCCCACTCTCTAGCATCTTCAAAAAATCATCGAAGGGGAGAGCCCTGACAACTAGATGAAGGCGAACGTTGCACTCATCGTCAAGAAGAGACCAAAAGAACAAATCAGGGAACTACAGGGTTGACAGCCTCACTTTGTTCCCTGGGAAAATTACGGTGAAGTCGTCTTGGACAACACTCTTGATCACATGAAGGAGAAGGTAATTGGGAACAGTCAGTGGGGATTTACCAACAGTAAATCATGCCTGACCAATCCAATTGTCTTCTGTGATAAAATGATTAGGTTTGTGGATGAAGAAAGAACAGCGGGTGTCATTTACCTCAGCTTTGGCAAGGCTTTGGACACTGTCTCCCATATTTTTGAACCCAAGTTAAGACATTATGGTCTGGATGGGTAGACAACTAGCAAGGTAAAAAAAACAGTTCTATGATCAGACTTAGAGGGTAGTGGTTAAGAGGTTGTGCTCTACCTGGAAGCCAGTAACAAAAGTACCATGGGGTCCGTACTGGGACCTGTCCTGTTTAATATCTTTATCAGTGACCTGAAAGAGGTGACAAGAGTGCTGGCTCACAAAGCCTGTAGATTACACCAAGCTGGGAGACAAGTCAATGTGCTCAAGGGCAGCGCTGCTATCCAAAGGGACCTAGACAGACTGGATGAATGGGCAGACAAGCACCTCAGGAAATCTGACAAAAGACAAAAGCAAAGTCCTGTGCCTGGGAAGGAAGAACCCCTTGCAGCTGTACTGGGCAGGGACTAACTCCCTGGGGAGCAGCTCTGCCGAGAAAGACTTGAGAATCTTGGTGGCAGCAAGCCTAACAGGTGCTAGCACCGTGACCTGGCAGCAAAGGCGGCAAACAGCATCCTGGGTTGTATTGACATGAACACAGCCAGTAAGTAGATCCGGGAAAGAGGTTATTATATGAGATTCATTAGACTTCATCTGGAACACTGCATCCACTTTTAAGCCCCACAGTACAAGACAGACTTGATGAACTTGAATGAGTTCAGCAGAAGGCCACCAGGAGGGCTGGGGGGCTGGAGTACTCACCCTCCAAGAGGCAGAGGGAAGTGGGCTTGTTCAGCCTAGACAACAGAAGGCTTCAAGGGGGACCTAAAAGTAGCCCTGCAGTACCTACAACTGTTATATTTTGAGCGCAAGCATTGGAAATGGTTGCCCAGAGAGATGGTGTTGTCCATCTCTGGAGGTTTTTAAAGATCTGACAGGATAAAGCCCTGATTGTATCTCCTCATTTGGGCCTTGCAATCATGCGACACGATATACTGCAGGCTAATATTCACGAATTCCAATGGCATAGAAAGAATGTTCTTTCTCTGTCGTTACACCCACAGTAATTGTAGCACAGGGATCTTAAGCCTGAATGTCTGATGCCACTGGAATATGTTCAGCATTTCACTAGCAAACTGCATTAAGATTCTACCAGCCTTAATAATTAATCACAAATGGCTTTGCAATACCATTAATTGTAGAAGCAGATGGATGTGTTTCGCAAAAGCAGGACTGACTTCAGTGCTTCTGTCCTGGCTTTTCTCTTCTGCCAATAGCCAGCTGCATTGTTCATAACCAAAGTAATGTAAAAAGTTAAATTTACAAGTCTTTATAAGATCTAATTCCTTTTATTCATGTGTAAATAAATTTTCAATCAAAGCCCATTCCACTGAAAACATCAGAAAATCACTATACTATGACTGTAGCAAGCAGTAGAACACGGAAATAATCTCATTCAAAACAGTTAGTTGAAAATTAGCAACAGACTAAAAGCACATTGCTTCTGTGAAAGACCACCCCCTGATTAGTTTTGTTCAATCGCACGATCAAAACCACAGTAAATTAATAACACCACTATACTGATATAGGTATATATATACCAGTTCAACTATACAGAGAGAATGGCTTTAAAATGAACAGCAGGATAAGCACTTGCTTACAGTCATACAAAGTGACCAGGAAATTTGTGTGAATCACAATCCTGGTAAACACACAGTCAGCTCCCTTCCAGATACTTCAAAAGTCCAGAATACAAATTTTCACTTTAAAAAAAAACAAACAAAAAAAAACCAAAACAAAAACAGTCATAAGAAGACAGGGGAAAGAAAAAAGGAAAAAAAAAAAAAAAAAACCCGACTTGTTGAATTTTGTCTACTGCTAACATTGTGAAAATGGGAAAAATACATCTAGCCTGCTGCTGACTGCAGATTCATTCGCTTGCATCACACTGTGATGTACCAGTTTTCACTGGCAGATAGGTTTCTGGGTTGTACAACTATGCAAATACACTGTGGTTCCTCTCTGAAGAGTTTCTCAGTGTGTTTTACTCCAGACAAGAGCTCAGCGATGTAACAGGATGTAAAACTTTTCAATAAGGAATCTCGAGACAA